GGTCACAGGCATGGCAGGGGCAGATTTCCTCGACTGTGTTACAAGTAACCCATTGTGGAGCTGCCTGGCTGTGAAGCGGCAGCTCTCCCCTGCCCGCGCTGCTGAGCTGCCTTTGATCTGGAAGCCTGGGCAATTAATAGCAGGCAGTTTCACTTCCTGGGTTTCATGCAGCAAGCCAGTGTTGCAATGCAAAGCTGCAAACAGTTGGCAAGTGCAATGCTTGCTTGGCATTTTTTTTTTTTTAATTTTGGGGTGATGTTTCCATTAGTCACTGATTGCAAGGGAAATTTATTTTTGCAAAAATTCAGATTTTGGCCCTGGCCTGACCTGCTATCACCTACTGACTGTGCCCAAACATAGAGCACCTGTTGCCATCAGAAAAGGGACATCAAAAAGGCTAAGAAATGGGACCAAGGAAAGCTGCACACTGTCCTCCCCTGGTGCTTTTAGGGTCTGGGTGTCCATCAGCTGCACCACACAGTCTCAGTCCCCCTCCCGAGCAGGGCGTAGGCTCTGGGGGCACCATGGCCCCTCTCCAGGACCCCTCCCCCCCATGGGCATCGAGCACCATGCAAGGAGGGGGCTCCCTGCTAGCCCTGGCACGGAGGCCAGCCAGACCCCAAACCTTTCTGTCTTTAGGTGAAGCCAGCAACATGAGGGGTGCAAATCCTGGTGAATCCAGCGCGGGGAGCACACGCCCAGGAGTGTTTTTGGGGAGGTGCCACATGTTGAGCTGCCCTGCGCTGGGAGCCCCACGCCACTCGAAGGAAACTCCCACTGCCTGCCTATGCAACACGGGGAGCACCTTGACACCAAATCCCCCAAACGGTTTGGGTGCTTGCAAACCAAAAGGAGCAGGGACGGGGGCTGCAGGGCTCAGGGTATGAGGGGGTGAAGGCAGCGTACCCCTCCCTGTGGAGGCATGTGGGAGCCTTTGTCCCCCTCCCCAGCCTGCAGCTCCTCTTCCTCCAGGGAGAGCTGCCTCTGCAGCTCTGCGTGGCGGGGAGTGTGTGGGAAGCGGCACAACCCCCAGAAGGGCCGTGTGCTAATTAAATAAAGATAATGAGGCTGAGAATGAGATGCCAAATCAATGCTGTGGCAACTCAAGACTAGAGCGCCAGATACCAGCCTGGCGTATCGCATTACAAAGCATGCCAAAGAAACTGCCTTCAGCCGGGCGGGATGAGCCCTCGGCTCCCGAGGGACCGGGATACAAGCTGCATTGTAACAGGTCTGAATGCAAGGTCTAATCCTGGCTCTGGATGGAGATAAAGAGGAGGAGGAGATCTTCAAAGGCCACTGAAAGTCTGGGGAAAGGGGGAGATTTACAACAGGGCTTATCCCATCTAAGCAGTAACTGGGTATTGTTATTTATTAAAATGCCATCTGGCACTCCAGAGCGCTCCTCACTTGTGTGGTGAAGCCTCGGCAGCTCCCTGGGGCAGGAGCGCCAAAACCCCAGCTCCGCGGGGCCGCAGGCACACCTCGCCCCATGCCGCGGGGGCAGAGCACCTTCTTGGTGGTGCTGGGCTGCCAAAATGGGGTAAGGGAACATCCAACCAAGAACAGAAAAGGGAGCGGGGGCTCTGGCTTCTCCCAGCCCTTCTTCAGCTGTTTCCACTTAGAACACATGATCATATGGCGGAAAATCTGATCCTACAAGCACAGCGCAACTTTCCCAGAGAAACGTGAGGACACCGCCGCTTCTGCCCAGCGAGAGGGCAGGCTGCCGGATGGAGACATGCCCATGGCTCAGCGTGGCTTCCCCGTGTGCTGGGGAAGGAGCCGGGGCTTGCTGGAGGGAAATTAAAGGCTCTGGGAGAGCTGCCGTGCAGGCGTCTGCCCGGCTGGGGGGATGTGGAGAGATCTCGTCCCAGGCTGCAGCGATATCCTGAGGAGCCCTTGGTCCTGCCTCAGGATGCCCCAGCTTGGCACAGCCTGGATGCTGGCTGGAAACAGTGTCACCTTGTGCCCAAACCCCGCTGGGAAAGAGGAAACACCCCGTACGGTCTACGATCTCCCATCCCAAGCAAGAAGGAAAACAGGTCCCCAGGAGCGTGGGCTCCAGTGCACACTTTCAAGCGTGGGCTCCCTGCCCAGTGATGGATGCCTGGCTCCGGTGTCCGTCTGCCCCAGGAGGAGCCAGATCGGCTGCTCACAAGACTGACGCAGGGGGCCGGGCCCACAAGCAACCCGGCCCTGAAGCAGGGGCTGTGCTGGCACCAACGGTGCTGGAGGCTCCCGTCCCCCCGCCGCGCCCCGGCCCCAC